AGCCCCACTTATATGCAAAACATGGATGAATCTTAGAGGTACAATATTGAATGAAAACAACCATTTCTAGAAAAATAATGTGTATGATCTCTGTTTCACAAAGTTTAAAAACAAGATAGGGCTTCATAGTTAAGGTCTGACTTCCAGCCAGGTCAATGGTCTTCAAATTAGAAGTTCTTCTGAATTGCTGCTGAATACGAGGGTTCTGAGTTTGAGCCTGCTTCCCGATGAGCCTCTGCTCCCTCCCTGCTCATGCTCCATCCTCCTGTCCCAAAATAAATAAACTTTGAAAAAAAAAAATTAAAAAAAAAAAAAAAGAGAACTGAAAAAAAAATTTAATAAATATTTTGCCCTTCCTGTTAACACTGAATTTATTAGGATAAGGAAACATTTCTTCAAATTAGGTTGAAGTCTCCATCTTTGTGACTGGATGACATGGAACCAGAGTACCATTGATTTTATAAGCTGTAATTCCCTTTGAGGCTTTTTTGACTTTAATTGTACTCTACATTTATTTATTTAAAAAATTTTTTTTAATGTTTATTTTTGAGAGAGAGAGACAGAGTGCAAAGTGATAGGGCAGAGAGACAGAATCTGAAATGCTCCAGGCTCCAAGCTGTCAGCACAGTATATCTGATGGTGCTTCCTGTCCTTGAATGGTGAGATAATGACCTGAGTGGAAGTCGGAGAATCAACTGACTCAGCAACCCAAGCACCCCTCAGTTACTTTCCTTTCTACTTTTTTTCATTACTATTTTGTGTTTGTTTATTTATTTATTTTGAGGGTGGGAAGAGGAGAGAGAGGGAGACAGAATCCCAAGCAGGCTCTGTGCTGTCAGTGCAGAGCCCCGTGTGGGGCTTGAACTCATGAACCATGAGATCATGACCTGAGCTGAGGTCTGATGCTTAACCAACTGAACCACCCAGGTACCCTTCTTTCTGCTTTACCTCCAAGATAGGGGTTTGAAATCTTAACCATTTGCTATACAATTAGAATTATTAAAAATGAGCTTATACCTAAAGCTTAGCAATTTCTTACATGTGTCTTGAGTTATAAAATGAAAACTGGTTAATCGAATACCAGTTAATTAGGAATCTTAACCATGCTGTCCAGGATTTTTATAAAATTTCTTATAATATAGCTAGATTATTTTATGAAAGCCTCAGCTCTTTAAAATGTTGGCATTAACCCAAAGGTCTAAAATTTTGTGCTGCAAATAATGGATACTTAAATTGCTTATCATTTAGCTAAAGGAAACGACTCGGTTTTATGTGATTTGTCTGCCTTTCATTTTCTTCATTTCACAGAAAATTCTATGTTGCATGGTTATATGATAGCATATTCTAAAACTTTTTAATGAAAATTTCTTTAAAATATTCCATATTAATTTATTGTATATTTTGATAATTTTAATATTGCTATTCACATATTATTAAATTTAGTTTCTATTATTGAAGACTATGGATCTTTAATCATATATCGTAAAGGGAACTTCTGTCTGTTTGTCTGAAGCTTTGAGTTAACAGTGTAGCCTGTAGTCAGGAGATTAGATGATGCTGATGGCTTTCTAAGATTTTCACCTACTGGGAGTAGGTTGTGGGGCTAAGTTAAGAAGCATTTTCAGTTTCTTCTCAGGGCAGCAGCTTTGATTTCCTCCAGGCGGTGCTGAAAGTGCTCAGAAGGAAAGGACAACTTGGCAATTTCCCTTCGCAGTTGAAATACCTGTGACTTTAGTGGTGGTTGTGGCAGGCACAGGCTTCCACGTCTTCCATCTACTGGAATACTTTTTTGGAATTGACCATTGGAGACATGATTAGATAATATGTCTTTTTAAATCTCATAAATTACTGTGTAGCATGATAATGGCATCTTGTTAATATTTGAATTACCAAAATGATTCAGAAAGGACATTGAAGGTCTAAATTTTTGTGAATTTGTTGTTACACATGGTATGTCTGGTATATGTGTAAATGTGTATGTATAAGGAGAGAGAAAGAAGACTGAGCTATTGCTTTAAATATTTCCAAGGTTTTTGAAGCATTTACACTTACATTATAGTCTTATATTCCCATGGGGATATTTGTTTCTTTGGTTAGCTACAGAAAATAAAAGATTCTTTTGACATTATTGTTGAGAATCTTTTTTTTTTTTTTTTTTTTTTTTTTTTTTTTTTTTTTTTTTTTTTTTAAAGAGCAGAATTCGTTTTGTTGTAATATCAAGCCAACTCTGGCCCAGCACAGTGCCACTCTTCTAGCCTGGTAAATTTTGTGTTAAGTGGTAAGAATTTATGTGAACTTTATGTAATAGGTTGAAAGCATGTACCATATGTGACTTATTTTCTATTTCTATAACTGTTATTATGAGTCATTATAGACAGAATCAAATGTTTAAGCAACATACGTAGCCAAGAATTGCTTATATAGTAAAAGTATTAATGACATGTTGTAAACTATTTATATTCAGAATAATTTCTTTAGTTTTATTCTTCTTTGAATTAAAACCCAAAAATTAATATTTATTCTTATACTGAATCATTTTCACCAACATATTTGAGTTTTATGTTCTATATCTGAGTACAGAGTAGTAACTGACTTATTTGCTATCTGTATAATAGGAAAAAGAAGAGCATTTTTTTTGTAGGAGTACATCAGAAATAACAAAAGTTCCTAAGGGCTATTTCAGGCTTGATCTCCAAATTTTTTTTTTTTTAAAGATTGTTTTTCAAGGATTTATTGGTAACATTTGCAACACAAATAGAGTACCTACTGTGTGCTAGGCACTTATTACAAGGGGTGAAGCTACGATGTTGAGAGACAGCACTGTGTGTGCCTTTGGAAAGCTCCCGTCTAGGAGGACACAGATGAGTCACCAGAAGAGTTATAATACAGTATGGCACGTGTTCTCATAATGGTGTAAACAAAGAACTGTTGCTTAGAAATTTTTACTTTGATTTTGAATTTTAAATCCATTTTGGGTTCAGTTTTTCACTGGACCTAATTATGATGCATGAAAGGAAAATATCCACCCACTTTATATAGTAGATATTAATTGCTTCTCGGCCTTTTGGCTGAGATTAAGTGTATAGTAGATATTAAACCTTCAACAAATTAAGCATACTTTATTCTAATTTCTCTGATTTTACTAGACAAGTGATACTGGATACTAAATCTTACAATCCTGTTATTTTGAGGTGTTGTTTAAGACCTGAGATTAAAGAAACAATTACGGGTTTAGGTGTGTAGAGAGCTACAGTTTTTGTGTATGTAAAATGTGTTGATTCAGGGGCGCCTGGGTAGCTCAGTCAATTAAGTGTCTGATTCGACTCAGGTCATGATCTCGCAGTTTGTGAATTTGAGCCCCGCATCAGGCTCTGTGCTGTCAGCTTGGATCCTGGAACCCACTTCAGATTCTGTCTCTCTCTCTCTCTGTCCTTTCTCTGTTTGTTCTCTGTCTCTCTCTCTCAAAAATAAATAACCATTAAAAAAAATTTTTTAAATGTGTTCTTATATGTGGATATCATCTACATCTCTTGCATAAATGTTTTTATCTCCAAAGTTAAATTTGCATGTTAGAATGAATAAAATTCTAATTAGACCTGCTTTTGAAATATGTAAGCTATTTTATAACATTATTTTTCTTCTTAAAACCCAGACTAAAATTCAGCTTTGCCAAAACTATGCTGTCATATTTAACTTCCTTTTGATATACTTTGATACACTATTTCTGTTAAATACAAAACAATAAGAAAATGCTACCATTTGTAGTATGTCTTATTTTTAAATTCATAGAGTACCTTTTGTCCAGTCATTGAAGCCTTGACTTTTGTTTCTCATGTATTACAAAGAGTTATTTTCAATTTGATCTTTGTGTTCAAAGTTTTGGTGTTTTAACTCTAATGTATAAGTTGTATGAGTTAACAATCTTGTCTATGGCCTCTAGATTTTGCATCATGCATACAATGACACAGATTTTTGTAAAAATTTCTCATGATTCTTGAGAATCATGTACTTACGTTGTTTTAGAAATGGTGGTGGGGTGCACATGCATTTTTAAAATATGGATTTGGAGTTTGTTAAAGGGTAAATAATGACATAGAGATTTAACTTCCTTCCATCCAGATGAATACTCAGTTGTCCTGATACCATTTATGGAATAATTTTTTTCTCGTGTTTTGAAATGCTTCTTTTTTCTCTTCCTTGTACCATTTGTCTGTCCCTGTTCCTGTGACCTTATTGTTTTCTAGTGGGAGAAAGACTAACAATAAACAAGTAAGAAAATGACAAGTAGAAGTAATTTCTATAATGAAAATAAACAGTTATGTGGTAGTGACCGGACAGCTCCTTAAAATGAGTTGTCAAGACCACGCATTCTGAGGAGCTGCCATTAACTCTGACCTGAATATCAAGAAGGGAATAGCTGTGCAAAAATCTGGTGAAAGAACATTTCAGGTAGAGGAAATGCCCTGAGGTGGAAATGATCTCTATGTGTTCCACAGGTAGAAAGAATTATAGGAAATAGAATAAATAGGGGGAAGAGTGGTGAGAGGTAACAATTGGAGAAGAGGGCTAAGGAGAAAGCATGTATGATGTAGGGATTTGTAGGCCAGGCTGAGGAATTTTGATTTTATTTGAACTGTGAAGGGAAACTACTCAAGAGTAGTGTTTTAAAATTAAAGTTGTCTAGAATGAACTTCTCTTATTTTTCTTCTGCACAAAGAGGAAGTATAGGAGCATAGGTAATTTGTATATCAAATAAATAGGTTCTTATGTAACTGGGAGCTATTTCTACATACATATGACCCTATAACAAATTTGCTTCCCTGTTAAATAACTTTACAGTTAAAGAAAGCAGACTTTTAGAATCACGTAAGTACCAAGAGTTTAGAACTTAAAGAATAAAGAATCTGTTTGCACTAAATATTTAGAACTGTTTTTAGAGAACAATTTTATGATGTGTTCTAAAATAATGTTTTTTTCTTCCCTTAAAATGTTTGTATTAGGGAACAGACATCCTTGGAAGAGGGAGAAATTCCTTGGTTACAGTACAATGAAGTCAATGAAAGCAGCAGTGATGAGGGAAATGAGCCTGCCAATGAATTTGCACAGCCAGAAGCTTTCATGCTGGATGGTAACAATAACCTTGAGGATGACTCCAGTGTGAGTGAAGACTTAGATGTGGACTGGAGGTATGTAGCAGTGTTATTACCATGGTTAATTGTTCACTGAGTAGAATTCGTTCATGATTCTAAATTATGAAAACTGAATCTCTGATCTCTCAAAAGTGTTTTTTTCCCATCTTGTTAGTCTTCCTCTCCTTCAGAGCTCATTCTGGATGTCACTTCCTACATGGACTCCTTCCTACTACTCCAGGCAGTGACCTCTTTTCCTCTTTGACCTTTGGCTCTCTTGAAGCCCACCTTATATCCTGGTTATTTATAAACTCATGGTTTGAGGTTTCCAACCTGTAAGTTTAGCTCTATATGGTAAATATAGCACTTGGTGTAATCCTTTAAAAAAAAAAAAGAAGAGTAATAAATACTACTTGAGGAATTTCAAAACATGTGATTAAATCAGAAGAATCATAAGAATGTAGTTATCCTTCTCTGTATGCAAAATATGGAAAATGACAATTATATCTTCCCAGAGATGCTGAAAGTATTCAGTTTACTTTATGCTGACAAAGAATAATGAGCTTCAGGGAAAAGCAGCATCTAACAATTAAGTGGATTATTGAATTGTTAGGTCTCATGATATAAAGGTCAAAATTTAACTGTTTTGGCTTATAGTTAGATTTATCTTTCAAACATGCAGTCGGCCTCTGGAAGTAGCTGGTTATTGAGATGTAGAAAGGATATATGGTTCAACGGATCTCTTGTTACTTTTTCTGGAGAAAATAATGGCTTGGTACTACTTTTGTTTCCATGTCTTCCCAGAAATATTTTTAAGAATTTGTTTTGGTTTTCCAGCTAAAATTCCATTACAGAAAATAGAGAAAAATAAAGAAAAACTCATTTATATCACCTGATAACTCTGCAGATTTCTAGAAGTTTTGATTTTGAGTTTCTTTCCGTGTGTCTAGCTACTTTGTGCTTCTCCAAATTGTTCCAGATATGAAACTCAGCATCTCATGGAAATCCTCCTTACTGTTTCCTATTCTCACTCCCTGGGGGGGAGCAAATTAGATGTGCGAAGCAGACTTTCATTGCCCATTTGTGGAAGTAGAAGTGGTGTTTTATCACAGCCACACAAAAAATTTGTAATTCCATCTTAAACATTCCTACCTCCAAAACCCATTTTCTGACTTCCTAACTTTATGGAAGAGCAGTGGCTCACCAGATCCCAGTTTTGCTGATCTTGGTACCGCTAGCTCTTCCCCACCTCTCTTACGTTTGCCTGTTACCCTCTTTCTGAACTCCTTGTGATGCTGATGTCTTATGCCTTCACTGTGCAAAGTCATTCCTCATAATGCTCAGCAGATGACGGAATTGTCGATTTAGGTAACATCATGTGTGCATGTCTGGAGGCAATTAGGGTTTAATATGAAGAAATGTTTTCTTTTGCACATTTTCAAAATTTTATCAGAATAATGTTTTACAGCTCCATTATGTAGATGCTCCAGTCTGTAGTTGCACTAAAATTTAATTGTTCATTTTCCCCATTGAAATATTACAGTGAACCTTTCCCCTCATATAACTTGTTTTGTACTTCAGGTTATTTCTTTAGGACAGATTAATAGAGGTGACATTACTGAGATGAGTGGTATTTATTACGATCTTGATATATATTTCTAAATAACTTTCAAAAAAGGTTGTTCCGTATAAAAATTTGAAGAAATAATGAGGTCTTTTTTGAATATAATTTTAACTGAAACTTGAAAACTTGATTTTAGGTTCTAATTCATTGATGATCTTTCTGGATACATCTTTCTGGATACATCTCTAAAATCTGGATACAAGATTTTAGAGATGTTTGTGATTGTCCCCAAATTTGGAGATCTTCAGTAGTTTGTTTTTTGTTTTTTGTTTTAACATAGAAAGCATTTTAGCATTAATTTTAAGACAAACTTTTTGAAGGTTACTGTTTTGAATTTTATGTAGGCATGTAACACCTCATTATTGCTTATATGGTACTATGTTAATTTATATGGCAGTAGCTACAGATTGATAAAGTAAAATAGGATTTGACTTTCATATTAAAGTAACATGTCATTTTAACAACTAAAAGGAAAAGTCATGGCAAACAGCAGTTCTTATCTCTAGAGCTAAAATGTGACTTTTTTTTGGTTTGTTTTACCACAACTTAAAAAAAAGGTAAAGCTTTTTGATTCTTTAGTTTAAAAGGAAATGGAAAAAATGCTTTATCAAAGTTTACTTATTTGTTTTGATGACATCACAGAAGTGTTGTAGAATACGCAGAGAATATTTTATAAAATGGTCTGGTGGGAGTTGATGTGGAGAAAACATGAGTTTCAGATTTAGACAGATCTCAACTCTACCATATATTTATTTTTTGATAACTACCTAACTCTCTATTTTCCTGGAAGAAATTGGGGTTATAATTAGTAACCTATTAAGGTTGTGAGAAATTAATTCCCTGTGGCTATAACCATGGCTTAATAACAGAAATTTAAAATGTTTTTTTTAATGTTTTATTTATTCTTGAGAGAGGAAGAGACAGAGCATGAGCAAGGGAGGGGCAGAGAGAGAGAGGGACACAGAATCTGAAGCAGACTCCAGGCTCTGAGCTGTCAACAGAGCCTGACATTGGGCTCGAATTCACGAGCCATGAGATCATGACCTGAGCCGAAGTCAGACACTCAACCGACTGAGCCACCCAGGTGCCCCCCTTAATAGAAATTTAAAAGAATTTCCATATATCTTTCACTAATACTCCCCAAATATTGACATTTACCACATTTCTGTTATTCACTCTTTCCTTTCTTTCTCTATATTTATTTTATGGTATTTCCCCCCCCACATTTATGAGTAAGTTACAAACAAGATGCCTGTTTACCCATAGTCTAGCATGAAGTCCCTAAGGACAAGGACATTTTCTTATATAACACAGTAAAATTTTCGAAATCAGGAAATTAACACTGTTAACAGTACTATTATCTAGTCTACAGACATTATTCAAATGTCTATAGTTGTCCCACTGATGTCACCAGAGAAATTTTTTTCTAGTCCAGTTCAAGGCTACTCATTGTACTTGGTTAACATGTTTCGTGAGTCACTTTTAATCTGGAACATTTCTCGGTTTTTGTTTTGCATAACCTTGACATTTTTAAAAAGTATAGGCCATTTATTTTTTAGAATGGTTCTTAGTGTAGATTTTCCTGATGTCATGATTAGATTCAAGTTAAAAGATTTTTAGCAGGAACGCCACAGAAACGATGTTTTATTTTTCTTAGTCCATATCAGAAGACACGTGATGCCAAATTGTCCCATTTCTGTGATGTTAATTGCGATCATTTGCTTGAGGGGATATCTTTCAGATTTCTTCACTGTACTGTTGCCATTTTTTAAAACAAATAATAGGCATTTAGTGGGAAGATATTTTGAGACCACGTTAAATAACCTGTTTCTTCTCAAACTATCAAACTTCCATCCACTGTTTTTAGTATCATTAGTGATTTTTGTCTCAAACACTTACTACCATGTATGTGATTGCCAGATGAATGATGCTAGAATTTTTAATGTTAGCTGATTATTTTGCAGTGACCAAATTACAGGCAGATACTATTCTTTGAATGTCTACATTTGTTTAGTCTGGAGAAGAAAAGAATTCGGAGATAGTTGGCTCTAACCGTTTGAAGGAGTTTTCTGCAAAGGAAAAGGGGACATAGTTTTCGCTGCTTCAGCAGGCAGAACTAGAGCACTTAACTTCACACGAGCTTCATACTTCTGATAGAGCTCTTCCGCACAGCATGTACCACCCCAGAGAGCAGTGTTTCTTCCACATGGAGTCCTGCTGGTTCCTGGATGCCACGACCGTGGTGCCAGCTCTGTGCCAGGCGCGTGTGTGCATCAACTCATTTCATTTGTTTTATAGCTGAAAAAGCAGTTAGATAAAATTTTCACGTTGTCTGACTCTGACTCAGTTCAATGTAGAGGTAAATCCCTGTGTTACCGGCTCCAGGGCTCTCCTTCCTTGCCTTGTGTCTCACTGCTAGGTGAAGGGGTTCTAGTGTCGCAGGGGAGGTTGGATTTGCTAATTTGTTGTATAAATTCTAATTTTAAAATCTGTGATGGTATGAGGATGTTTCTTTGTACTGTGTGATGTCTGCTGATTTTTAGATGGTACTAAGCTATTATCTTCATAATAACACTTTTGTATTTCTTGGCAGTAGATTTGTAATTTTAATGATGGCACAAAAGTTGTCATCAAAATTATTTTGAATTGGTTTGTGTAACTGGATGTTCCTGACTGTATTCAACTTTTTTTTTTTTAATTCTTTTTTTTCAACGTTTATTTATTTTTGGGACAGAGAGAGACAGAGCATGAACGGGGGAGGGGCAGAGAGAGAGGGAGACACAGAATCGGAAACAGGCTCCAGGCTCTGAGCCATCAGCCCAGAGCCTGACGCGGGGCTCGAACTCACGGACCACAAGATCGGGACCTGGCTGAAGTCGGACGCTTAACCGACTGCGCCACCCAGGCGCCCCTGTATTCAACTTCTGATAGGACTGTAGAAGTCAACAGAAGGTTGCCTTTAGGTAGACATAATAAGCTCAGTTTTGGAGGTACTAGATTTGAGGTGGTGGGTGTTAAATGAGGTAAACTGCCCCATAAAAAACTAAAAATGTAGGTCAGGAGCTCAAGAGGGAGTTTGGAATTAGGTGGAGGTTTAGATAACTGAAGAAGTGGACTTGAATGTCATTGCCAAGGAGGCAAGATTAGAAAGAAGAGGACTGAGGAGTTATTTAGGGTTCCTGAATTTTGAAATGGGTATCTCCAAAACTACAGGAAAAGGAGGAATCTGTGTATGTCTAGGGGTGGAGGAAGGAGATTGGGACCAGAATAAAATATAATGTTTTCTTCAAGGGGATTGAAATCCTTTAGTAAAAAGAAACAATAAAAATGAACAGTCAAGAGTTAAGTATTTTTCAATCTGAATAATAATGGAGGAGGCCTAGTTCTCAGAAGAATAGAAGAGAGATTAAGGAGAAAGATTTGAGAAAATAAAATATTTTTAAGCCCAAAATAATTAAGGAGTACAAGGTAAGAGAAGGAAAAGAGGCTTTGTCTAATGATAGAATTGAAATAAATGCAGTAATTGTCTTTACCATGTTCTCCTCTAAATTTAGGTTGGAAACTCAAACAAACAGAAAGTATATGAGACAGAATTGGGGAGAAAAATACTACCTTTATACCAGCCTTAAGCAATCACCTGAGTTGGAACTAATTACTAGAAACATAAAAAGAATTCTCCTGCAAATTTTGTGTGTGATTGTGACAGCTTATTAGGAAAGGTAGTGGTGTCTTAGCTCCTTATGCTTAGTATTTCATTTTTCTGTTGGGTTCATCCTGCCTCTCACCACATAAGATTTATGTTAAAATATTTTAAGGTTTTCTGCTTATAGTATATTGGTTTATCAGTATGCTAATATAATTATGTCTTCACCATAAAGATATCCCTAATCGTGGTTATATTTTTTTTTTCCAGCCTGTTTGACGGCTTTGCAGATGGACTAGGAGTTGCTGAAGCTATTTCCTATGTGGATCCTCAGTTCCTCACCTACATGGCTCTAGAAGAACGCTTAGCTCAGGCTATGGAGGTATTGTAGTGACTCTGATGCCTATATATAAGTTGGTGGGATACACAATGATAAAAATTAAAGGCTTTTTTAATTGCTTTTAGGAAAAGGTGAATAATTTTTCATCACTTTAATAGCATTTCCTGATTAATGATTGCCACTAGTTTGTGTATATAAATCACACTAGACATTCTGCCAGTTTGCCTAATTGCATTATTTTCCAGGTTTTACTGCAGAATAGAGAATGTTTTGCTTACATTTAGAAAATAGACTTTTCCTTTATTAAGTTATCTGGGTCTGTGAATCTGAATTTTTTTTAATGTTTTATTTATTTTTGAGAGGGAGAGAGAGAGAGAGTGCACACAAGTGCATGGGGGAGGGGTAGAGAGAGAAAGGGAGATAGGGAATCTGAAGCAGGCTCCAGGCTCTGAGCTGTCAGCACAGAGCCCAATGTAGGGCTTGAACTCACGAACCATGAGATCATGACCTGAGCCAATGTCGGACGCTTAACCGACTGAGCCACCCAGGCACCCCTGAATCTGATTACTTTAGACAGACACAGGTATATTTGTAAATGAAATTGAAGATCTCTAAGGATATATTATACATCACTTCCACTTTTTTGTCCTCATAGTTTCTAAATACTACCTTGCTGCTTAATGAATATAGTAATTTTATTTCCATTATCTCCATATACAAATACACTTAAATAAATGTAGCACATAATTTTGTTTGGCTTTCTTTTCCTTATTTGATTGCAATACAAATACTCATGATTGTATTTGCCTAAGGTCAAAAGCCCAAGCATTTTCGTGTTTGGGAACTTTCACTGCACTTGTGGATTTCATTGTTAGAAATCTTTTCTTTAAATTACTATTTCTGAAGTGATTTCCAAGTAGAAAAACAGTAATAATGTGAGTGAGTCAAAAGTGAGAGAACAAAAATAAATGAGAGAACTTTCAGGGACTATAACAGCATTTTATCTTGACATTTTCTGAGGTTAGAGAGTACAGTTTAGATTCATAAAGTATACAGTGGGTAGGTAGACAGACTGACCTGTCTACACACAAACACTTATGTACACGCACACACACTTAAGTTAGTTTTGCTGTGAGATCACTTTTTTTTACATCTGAGTAATCTTCCATGGAGATCATTGATTGATTATGCTTTGTGTGGTGTGGTTTTTTTTAAAGGAACCATAGAAATACTGTGTTGTAGGAGGAAAGTCAGAAAGAACATATTAAGACAATACACTTAGGACTTTTCCCAGATTATTTAACTTGCCTTAGTCAATTCTGACACATGAAATAATGGCACAGTGTGATAACTTGTGTCAGGAATATAATATGTAAAGGTAAAGAATCACTAACTTTTTTTGAGATAAATAAATTTTAAGTGACCACAATGGAATATATCCATTCTAGAGTCTAGTTTCACAGTGTTTACATAGTTTTTCCCATTATTATGCTAGTGGTCCATGTTTTGAAAATTAAAATAGAAGTTTTAATAGAAGTTTTCTTGTTACCAGTAGGAATTGTGACATTTGATTGGTGTCTTGAAAGAAGCACCAGAAGGATTGGTCGGGGGCAGGGCATCATACCGTGTGAAGGCACTAGCAGTGTGTGCAAAGACCAGAGTCAAGAAAGACTAGTATGTCCAGGGAACTTACAGTCCCCACATGACTTCTGCTCTTTGGGAACCCAGTGACACTGCCACTTGTCACTCTTAACCATCTGTCCTTCTGTTCTGACTAATGAGTGGTGTTGTGTCTTCCTTCCCTACAGTTTAGCAGCTTCCTCAGATTTAGTGCTCTTTATTTTATTTGAATTTGACTGAAAATCAATACAGTTCCATCTTCCTATCACTCTCTAGAAATCTTTATTTTTCTGCCTACTATGCAGTTATTTAATCATTTTGAAAAGTGAGGCTGTATTAATTTATAATTTATGATATTTTCTTTTAAATTTAACAGCATTCTTTAAATGAAAGAAAAGCAACTAAGAAGACAAACTGAGTGCTTTTATTTGTTTTTCTCTCAAGCAGCCTGATCTCTTTTCAGCACTGGTTGTTTTCATTTCTCTTATTTTCCCAATACCAGACTGATCTGTTATCTCAGGTAGTGGCTATTGGTGAAAATATTGGCAATAAATATTTGCCTATACTTTTGTCTCAAATTTGAGTGAGAAAAGGACAAAATACTTAAGATCTTTAACTGTTTGAAACAATGATATTAAAGCTTTTTACTCTGAACAAGTTTTGAAAAATACTTGCCTTTGCACATTTATGTTCACATTTAAAGTTTTTTAGCATAAACCCTAAGTAATATTGTTTACCTTATTATACCTCTTTGCAGTAAAAGTATGTTCAAGAATTTAAATATAAATAAAGTGGTTTAGATTGATTTAAAATTGTTAGCATCTAACTGATCAAAAACAGACTTCTAAATGTTGATAAATATTTAAATGTAAAATTTTACTGGAAATATATCTCTTAATAAGATAGAGGGAGACTTTTTCCTTCCTTATTATTTTATGAGTTAATTTTATTTATTCCTAGAATGAGATCTAGTCGAGCATCAATTTTATTTGTTTTTCATATTTATAAATGTAAACTTGAGAAACCTTGTTCACATAAATAAATTGATAGGGATGGAAGGAGTTTATCATAGCATTGTCACTTAGTTTTTCTGAGATATTTGCCCAAATCACATCAACTTGACAGATTGTTTAGATCCTCCTTTTTTTTTTTTTTTGAAAGCAGATGACTGGAAGCCACCTACAAAATTTGTTATTTAGTCGTTAGTTCAGTGTGACCCCAGTATTTGAAAGTGCCCCTTTGAATGGGTAAGAAGTATGCTTTTATTTATAAAGTGGAGAAAAGGTTAGTATAAAAAGGAATATGGGAACAGAGAACCAGCACGGTACTTTGACTGCGGGTATATTCTTCAGAAGGTCAGTTTGAGGAAGGGTTACATAAGAAAGTTAAACGAATTGAAATTTAGTCTCTTAAGACTCCATGCCCTTGGCTCCCTAGAAAGTCTTTACACACTTACAGAACACTGCCTATACGCTGGGTTATAGGCATTGGGAAGGTAGTACATGAACTTTAGGTTTGTGACCTTGCACTCTTCACTTAACCTCCTTAAGCTTCAGGTCCTCATCTACAAAATGGGAGTAATAAAATTTACCTTGTGGATTGTGACACTGTGTTAAAGCACTTAGCGAAATAGCTGGTGCAGTGATTAGCTCTCTTATAAATGGCTGTATTCAAAGATTTATTCAAATCAGCAGTCAGCCAGGTGGTAATCATCTAGCACATGTGGATTCAGTGATCATTGAAAATCAGTATTAAGTCACTTGTTATAAATCTTCACTTTTTAAAAACTGAATTGTGTTTTATTCTTTAAAAACTAAATTTTGTTCTGACAAAGGATTATGCTACTTTAAATCTAAATATATTCCAGTTGTGCTCTTTAGCCTATTTAGTTGTCTTTCTGACACTTGGAGTAACTTTTGAAAATACACTGTACTGCCTAAAGTATAGATAGATTTTTATATTTTTACAGATTTCATAGCAGTGGTTTCAGAATGGTCTCTCTTAACTCTTGTTGCTTGTATGTGACTCCAGATCACCTTAAGTATTTGTCAGTATCAAGGCAATAAATTATTTTTACATATATGAAATTCCAGGTATTTATTAGCACTACAGACATGCAAATCATCATCAGAAAGGAATAATGAACCTATTGCAACAAACGTGTCGAAGCATAAGTAGCATCCCCAAATGGAACTTACTGTAAATAATATCCCTTCTTTTTTTATGTGTGGAGTAGCACAGAGGAGTTCTTGCAGTCTGTCTTGAGAAGTACACAAGGAATTGGAGGAGATTTATGGTTATAGTTATATGAGAAAGGAGGGACAAATAATAGGCTATTACCTTCTATTTTCTATTTCCTGAGGGGAAATTTTAATATAAAGAACTATAAACTATAATAGGGGATTAAAGTAACAAAGATTTGCTTAGTAAGGATTAAAGATATTTCTAAAGAATACAGAAAATGCACATATAAGGAATGGCTCCCACACATTAGGCTAAGATCACCTAAGAGTCTCCACCTCCAAGGCTCAGATTCAAACTTTGATGGAGATGGCACAACTGTGGCTCACTGAATGGCAACAAAGTCACTGTAGTGCTACACTGGCAGAACTTGCTGGAAATCAGCCCTGTCGGGTGCTGCTGAGGAAAGCTGTTTATAGGGAGATGTCTCACTGGAAGCACTCTGCTCCAGAACTGTCCAAGGTGGGTGCTGGGGGAAGCTGCTGGCCGCATGCACTACAAGAGCAAGATGCTGGAGAAGCAGTGGGCGTTGGAAAGTCTGCTGCTGGAGAAAACCATGCATGCCATGGAAGCCTGGGTGAAACAGGCTCACTGGGATTAGAAGTAAAGCCCTTTTCCTCCTGCAGTGTCTTTTCAGCATCCTCTGTGAACAAAGCTTAATTAACATTGTGACAGCTATCAAAGGAAAATACTTAAATAGCCCAAATCCTTTTTCACAGAGCTGACAAAAATAGCTAATTTGGATTTGAGGAGCAGTAATCAATAACTGGAGAACAGTCCATCCCTTTGATTACTTGGATCCCATATATACCTTTCTACACAAATTTGAACTCTGTGCAACAGCAATGCAACTTTATTTCCACCTAACAAGATATAGCTAGTTTTTGTTATTTTTTACTTTAAAGTTTAGCTATTTTGAGAGAGAGAGAGAGAGAGAGAGAGAGAGAGAGAGAGAGAGAAAGAGAATCCCACGCAGGCGCCACACTTAGCAAAAAGCCTGATGCGGGGCTCGATCCCATGAACTGAGACCCAAGCCTAAATCAAGAGTCCGGTGCTTAACCAACTGAGCCACCCAGGCACCCCACAGCTAGTCTTAAAATGAAGTTTTCACTCTTTCTCTAGAATGAACAAATGTGAACGGACTCCCAAGAGTCATTATGTCCATCACTAAGTATTAATCA